CCAGATACACACTTACACACACAGTGTCAGATACACACACACACACACACACAGCCAGATACAATCACAGCCAGCCATACACACACACACACACACACAGTGAGATATACACACAGTGAGATATATACACACACACACACACACACAGTGAGATATACAGTGAGATATACACACACACACACACAGTGAGATATACAGTGAGATATACACACACACACAGTGAGATATACACACAGTGAGATATATACACACACACAGTGAGATATACACACAGTGAGATATATACACACACACAGTGAGATATACACACAGTGAGATATATACACACACACACAGTGAGATATACACACAGTGAGATATATACACACACACACACACAGTCAGATATACACACATTCAGCCAGATACACATACACACACACAGATATACACACATACACACAGTCAGATATACACACATACAACCAGATACACATACACACACACACACACACTGACACAAACACACACACACAGAGCCATATGAATTCACATAGTTTAGCCACCCTCCTTACCTCTACAGAAGTGTGGCTTCCCTGTGGTCCAGTGGGAGCTGGATGGCTGAGATTGATGGGAGTCTGCTTGTTCTTGGTCTGTACCTCCTCCATGTATGCCTCCTCCTCCCCAGCGGCACTCTGTTAATTGGGAGGAAGTGACCTCACAACACTTCCTCCCAGCAGGCAGGAAGACCAAGGCCCGGTCTGCAGCTCTCTTAAAGGGCCGGGGCCCCTGATTACCTCACCTGCTGCAGCCCACCGGGATATTTCGCAGTATCCCGGTGGGCTGTTCAGACCTGGCTGCAGGCAGGGGGCCCACAGGGCCGCTGCTTTGGGCCCCCCAGGAGCAACTGGGCCCGGGGCAGCTGCCCCGTTTAACCCTTGTTAAAGACGGCCCTGCCTACACTAATAAGAGCTCATGTGCGTGCGGCGCTACGTGACTCCAGCTTATATATAGAGGCTGGGTCACATGCTGAACTGGCCAATCACAGCCATGCCATTAGTAGGCATGTCTGTGATGGCTTCTAAGGGCAAAGGAGACAAACGCTTGTTGCTGTTCGGGTTCGCTCAACTCTAGACACGGACACTGAGAGACATGGGGACACTGAGAGACTAGGGGACACTGTGTCCAGATGTCTCCTAGCGTCCCCAAGTTTCACAGTGTCCCCATGTATCAGTGTCCCTATGTCTCCCAGTGTACCCAAGTGTCTCAGTGTCCCCAAGTCTCCCACTGTCTCTGTCCCCAAGTATCTCACAGTCTCTATGTCTCCCACTGTCCCCTAATGTCTCTGTGTCCCTATGTCTCCCTGCAGACTTTCCCCCATCCGTCACTTACCTAAATGGTGGGCTGTGTCTGCAGGCTGGGACCTGCTGTCTGGACTCTGTCCTGTGTAGCTGCTCTTCTGTGGTTCAGTGAGTAGAGAGAGGCAGACATATGCTGTAACGTCCTATCTCTGCCTCTCTACACATACAGCGACCCCTACTGACGGGTGCTGGTATTGCATAGTAATCTCCGTTTATACTGAGAAAAATACCTGCATTTGTATTGCCGGTATTACTGCAATAATGGCACGTCCAGGTAGCCTCAAATACTGGTTATGCCGTTAAAATACCGGGCAGGTGGCAACCCTAACGACCGTAAGTAAAAAAAAAACTTACAATTTATTTTTTATTTTTTTTCAATTCAATGGGCCTGGAGCTGCAGCTCCATCAGCCCCTAGGTTAATCTGGCCCTGCCCACCTCTGTTTCTTTGTTTGTTTGTTTGTTATAATTGTTCACTATTGTTATTATCAGTACATAAATGTATTTATTTGTCCATGCACAGCAGAGTTTCAATACGGAATTTCACGCAGGATATGGAAGTAAAGAATGAACGCTCTGTGACTGAAAAATTCAATGCTCAACTTTTGATTTCCTCCCAATACCCCCCACACCTTTTCTGTACCCTGAAAATCAATAACAATTGTCATATTGAAAAAAGAGCCCTTTAGACTCCTAAAGCAGTTTAGCTTGCTTAAGTGCTTTATGTGCGAAGCGTGTGTCATTTTATTATTTTACAAAAAGTGCAGATTTTAATAGCAATTCCTACTTTTATAAATTAATCTTATTACACCCCTCCTAACTCTCAATCAGCCAAACATTCCTGGTATGTCCTGGTTTGGTTAGCATGCAAATACTTCTTATTGAGCTGCTTTGGAAAATCCATGATTGGACAGTGACAGAAATTATGGGATGCAGAAGAAAGGCTGCAATCAAGATCTGCACAGGCCAGCCAAAGTAGCCAGCCAGCCACAGCAGCCAGCCATCCTGCCTACAACAACAGCCAGCCACAGCAGCGAGACAGACAGCCAGCCAGCCAGCAAAGGAGCCAACTTTGGCTGGGTATCAAAGCTATGTTATATTGCCAAATTGTGAATGGGGATCAGAGTGTTAGAAAGAGATACTTTATTGAAGTCTCTAATGGGGCCTGGAGGGCATTCTTTTTAACAGGGACTCTCTAATGAACACTGAAATGGCCTCTGTTAGAAAGACCCCCCTCCAGGGCTCATTAGACTCAATTGTAGTACTTAATGGGCATGGATAGGACTCTCTCTAATGGACACTGAGACTCTCTCTGTTAGAGAGACCCCCTTCAGGGCCCATTAGATTCTATTGTAGTCTCTAATGGGGCCTGATTTGGACTCTTTCTAACATAGACTCTCTAAAGGACACTCTAGTACTGTGGCGACTGCTGTGTGTGCAATGGTGCTGTGGGTGCAGTCTGGTGCTGTGGTAGCTGATTTGAAATGTGCAATTTTGTGCTGTTTGTGTGATCACTTAGCACAGTGTGGACTTGATATTTGTATTTTACTTCTTGAGATTAAAGATACATGTGGATGGTTGTTGTTGCCACACATTATGAAGATTATATCTAAGAAACTTCAATACTGGCTTGAGTGAATAAAGTATCCTGGCATTGACAGTCCTATATACGCAGTGGTGGAACTACCACAGTCACAACCGGGCCCCTCACACCAGGGGGCCCAGCCGCCATGCTGATCCCTGTGACCATGAGCCGCCTGAAGGTGGGAGCGCCGAGAGGAGCCCTGTCACGGGGCCCACTTTAGGACACCCCCAAATTAGCGCTTAACCAATGAGGCAGAGTAGGCACCTGCTTACCTGGATGGTAGGTGCCTACTCTGCCGATATATACAGGAGGGGAGGACACAGCATTTGGAGGCAAGGTAACACTGATCTGGCAGTTTCTCTCTCCTCCCTCGCATGCCCACTGTGATGTCGGGAGCTGCAATATCACGTCATTCCAGCTCCGGCAAACTAAACAGCGTGCAGAAGGAGAGAGGAACTGCTAGATTACAGCACAGCCCCACACTGGACTCCAGGGAAAGGACCCAGACCAGCTCTCCCAAAGGTAGGGAGGCTGGATGAGCCTCAAAAAAGTAAGATTAATTTGTGAGAGTGTGCAATAATGTGTGTGCCAGTGTTTGTGTCTGTCAGTTTGTGTGTGTGTCTGTCAGTGTGTGTGTCTATCTGTCAATGTGTGTATGTGTGTGTGTCTGGACCTATCTTTCCGATCGGCTCCGTTCCGACACTTCCGGGTATGCGGAACAGTCCCCGCCCCCTTCTCTGACGCGGTTCTCTCAAGCCTTATAGAGAAACCGCGCCAGTTTCAAAATTGCTTAGTGATTGAGTTGGTTACTTCCGCATTCATATTGCCGGCTAAGCTCCCCTTCGTTAATTTTTGTGTACCGAACTCTTGGACTGTTTAAACGGATTCCCTGCCTTCTCCTGTCCTTTGATCACGGACTGAATTTTGGACTCCCCTGCTCTCTCCAATGCCAAAGACCCGGACTGAAAGAAGTTTAACCTCCTTCTTGGCTCAAGCTAAACTGCCTTTGGAAGACAACTCCCATCAAACTCTAAGTATACATTTAGTACATTTCTGGGATTTTCATTGCTAATGAACTTTAACCTGCTTGCTAAATACTCTGTTACCAATATCTCTGCTACAGTTGCTATTACTTTTTGCTTTCAACTAACTACCTGCAAGATCCACGAAGCCTTAAAGCTACAGTAACTGTTCTTAATTAAAGGACTTTTTTTTTCCTATCTTCAATCACTCTCTGTTAGAAAATTAAGGAATTTTCAAATCTGCAGTTGTGTTCCACATCTATAGTACTTGTGACATAACACATGGGTGGGTGAGACATATGGAGGGGTTGGGGGTGGGAGAGATACTTAGAGCGTGGGAGAAAAACATGGGTGTGGAAGAGAAACATGGAGGGGTTGGGGGGAGAGACACTAGGGCAGGCATAGGCAATCTTCGGCACTCCAGATGTTTTGGACTACACCTTCCGTGATGCTTTGCCAGTATTATGGGGGATGTAGTCCACAACATCTGTAGTGCCGAAGGTTGCCTATCCCTGCACTAGGGCATGGGCAAAATATCTGGTTTGGTTCGGAAATTCAGGTAAGTAAAGAAATTTGTCTGCTTTGGCAATTTTCACCAATGGCATTCAGTTAGGTTTGGCACCTCAGAACTGCCGAACGTCGTCGGTTCGGACATTCGTAACCATCCAAATGGTATGAAATTCATATGAATGTACATTCGGAACGAAACGAATTGCACATGTCTACTTTATATATCTTATATAATAATTGGCTAAGGATGTTTGTCCAATGCAGTAATGCACAGTAGAGATTGCGCGAGACTGCATGGGACAAACATTCCATGCCAGGCAGCGAGGGAGCAAAGTACTTCAGGGTATACTGGCAGCCGCGATGTGATGCGTATAGGATATAACGTCCTTGCACAAAAGGAATTAGCTTATTGGTCAAGATTCCTGTACTCATTCACGTAATTTTCCCTCCCTCTCTCTTGTTTTGCCACTTTTCAGAAATCCAAATCGCTTCGGCACTTCAAAGCTTCGGCGCTTCAGGACTTCCGCACTTCGGACATTCGTGTGTGTTAAGTCCGCGTGAGAGATCTGCGCTTCGGCATGGGCTCAAAGCTTCATGCTTCCCACAGGGGGCCAAAACTCCCGATCTCGGTGCCACTACCTCTTGTGTGGGTATCTCTTGGGCTCAGTTTGAGTGTAAGAGCCATAATTTGTAACCTAAATGGCCAGATTTCTCCAGAGCCTCACCTGCATGCGACCGGACAGCATGGCAGTCTGGCCCCGCCCCCCTACTCCTTGTATTTTGTGACCTGTAACTTTCTAAATAAGCTGAAATCATATACATGTTATGAACTCTATAAATCAAGACACATAAATTAATTTATTTTTAATTACTTTTCCTAAGCTGGACATATAATGCACACGCTATTATTGCCTAAATTCCCCCCCTCCCCCCATTTTTTGGCAATTTTTTGGCAATTTTTTAAAATAATTAATGAGAATGTATCTATGTATATGTGACATTAAATTGAAGCCCTTTTTGCACTCTAAAAAACGGTTCATAATATGTGTTGGTGCAATAAATGACAGAGATGCAAATTGCGTTTGAACACAAACAGCAAAAAATGCAAAAATGGCTTGTGACTTAAGGGTAAGAAAAGCTTCCATTCATAGGTAATTTGTACTGCAAAATTTTTAATTTTATTAAAGGCTACGGAGGCTCATATTAGGCTTTATCTCTTGTGTCAACACCTCCTTCAGTTCCAATGGGAAAAGACTATGTGGCGTTTCCAATGCCTCCCGTTAAGCCTATCCTCGGCCCAGTGGTGTTTCACCAAGCTGCTGAAGCCGGTGGCCCTTCTACGCAGCAGAGCAGTCCGTATGATCATATATCTCGACGACATGCTCAACATCGCTCCTGGGTGCTGTCCCTCCTTCAAAATCTAGGTTTCTTAATCAACTGGGACAAGTCAATCCTACATTCTTACCACACCATGGAGTTTTGCGGATTCAACATAGATGCGATTCAGGGGACGCTCAGTTTAATAATTGACCTTCTCTCTGCCTCCATACAAGCAATTTTTCAAGGGCCTCTCCACCACAGGGCCCTACAACCGCTCAAGGACGCGCACCTATGCTTGGGTCAGTCTTACTCCGATTCTGTTCCACTCGATTGCATGGCAAAAGAAGAACTCGCCTGGTGGCTCCAACACATGGAAGCATGGAATGGCAGGGCAATCTTCAGAACCACCCCAGGCTCGGCTGGGGTGCATGTTGTGGTCCCACCTCTACAGGTGGAAAATGGTCCTCAGAGGAAAAGGATCTTCACATCAATGGTCTGGAACTCCTGGCGGGGTTGTTCGCCCTTCGGAGCCTCCTCATGGGCACAACCAATTGTTCCATCCTACTTCGCATGGACAATAGCTCGGCGGACTGCTACATCAACCATCTGGGTGTCACGAGATCCACGATACTAATGAACCTACGGAAAGAGTTTTGGCACTTCTGCCTGGATCGCAACATATCTGTACAAGCGGAATACCTCCTGGGTTTTCCTCAACATCGTAGCAGATTGGAATTCCAGACATCTGCAAGACAACAGCGTCTTGCGACTGAACCGCACAATATTCCTGCGGCTCCAACAATTCTGAGGCATATCGACCTCTTCGACTCCTGGGTGAATTCTCAACTCCCGTCATTCTTCAGCTGGAGACCGGACCCAGATGTCCTGGTGGTGGTTGCCTTCCTCCAACCTTGGCCGAACAAACGACTCCCTCCTCTCTACTGGCTCGGACCCTACTGCATCTAAAACGCTCACAAGCATCACTGGTCCTGATAGCGCCTTTCTGGACGGCACAGCCTTGGTTCCCTTCTCTCATGGTAATGTCTATCAACCTTCCCAGACTAATGGTAATGTCTATCAACCTTCCCTTCCATGGACCTACTATCGGATCCCGATGGGAACTCTCACCCCTTTTTGGTTCAGGGGCATCTCAGACTTCTGGCGTGGCTCCTCTCCGGGGACCTTGGGTCATGCCGAACGTTTCACAAGCAACTCTTGACTTATTGGCAGGAGCTTGGGCTCCAGGAACAAGAAGATCCTATACTCATGCCTGGAACACATGGAATGGTTGGTGCATGGAATAACACGTGGATCCCATATATGCTTTTGTAAACCACATCTTGAGTTTCCTTTCCACCCTGTATGACCAAGGTTTGGCCTACCACACGATAAACATATATATATATCGGCGATCTCAGCTGGTCATAACGGAATGCATTGTTTCCCGGCTGGGAAACACTTGTTGGTTCTTTCGCCTTCTGCAAGGCATTAGATTTGCACGTCCACCCTAACCCCGATACACAGCTCTGTGGGATGTCAACCTAGATCTTCATCTTTTGGAGGATTGGCCTATGAACCCGGACCTTACGCTCAAACAAGTGTCTGCAAAATTGGCCATGCTTTTGTGTTTAATTTCCTGCAAAATGGTGTTGGATGTCTGAGCTCTGGATATCGACGCACATTTCTTCGCTCCGACCGGTGTTTTGTTTAATATCACCAGACATACGAAACCGAAGATTACTTCAGTCTTCTACCCCTCTTTTTCTCATAATGTTCATCTCTGCCCGGTGGCATGCCTCCAGGAGTATGAACTACGGACTCAGTCATTCAGGAACCCAACACACCACAACGTGTTCCTGGCTCTGAAACAACCTCATCACCCAGTATCCACGGTGACTTTGGTCTGCTGGGAGAAATGGATGTCTGCTAACATGAACATTGATCAGTTTATGGAGCTCATTCTACTAGAGGTGCTATTGCTTCAAAAGCATTCACATTGGGTTGTAAACTTGAGGACCTTCTCCGCACAGCTGATTGGTCTCGAGAATCGACGTTCAAAGATTACTATTTTCTTCCAGCAGAACACATCTCTTCTATGGTTATTTCACAGCTTTAAACTAGCCTAATATGAGCCTCCGTGTCCTTTAATAAAATTACCAGATTTTACTAATTACATGACATAAAGTCATGATTTTCTTAAGGACACAGAGGCGCGTATTAGCCTGCCCAAAAAAGAGGTAAGTCTTACATTTTTTCTTCCCATCCAATTTTTCGACATCATGCTTGATTTTCACTTGACTTTAGTTTGGGTTATCGAATGCTTAGAATAATTTTGTCTTTTGCTGGACTCACAGTGACATGTTTAGTTTTATATGTTTTCATTGTCATGCATACAAATGTACGACATCAGTTTTTGAACATATTTTACCACCTGTTTCTCTGTTTCTTACAGCTTGAACCTTTACAATGGCTTAATTGGGACCGTTTTTTTCCCCATGATTGCAATGGAGGTGCTCTCTAGGATCCACTACCATCAGATTATGTCTACACATATTTCGGATGTTGGATTCTTGATCATGTTGAGTCAGTTGTTTTATGTCGGTTGTTTATAGTTGAATTTTCGGTTTCGGCATCATCAAGGTCACATGGAAGTATATGGAATGAGGACTGCTCCCTTTGGTTGAATATGTTATATGGTTAACCCTTTAAGGGTATTTGTTTTTGTTTTCTATTAATATCTTAGGTTGGTGGGGTCACCCAGGTGCACAACAGAGGCAATTCTGGGTAGGGGGTACATTTGTCAACCCGCCAGCCCCAGGTCTTGCTGAGGCTTGCTCTTATGGGGTCTGCGCTTCTGCCTTTTTGGAGGATCCCTTTTGGCTCTCTGCCCAGGTGGGCTAGGTTTGTGGGGCTTGGAAGCTTGGTGGTAGGTTGTGCCCGACGGGGCCTTATGCACCCCATCTCCTGCTCGCCTCCGTTTGCTCTTGTGTCCCCCAGCTGCCGCAGCTGCACATACCTGCAACCGCTCCCAGAAACAGACGAATAGTGTCAGGATTACTAGTTGATATAGCACATAGAACTGTATCACACCTAAGACTAAAAGGTAAAGTCTTACCAGGCCTTAGAATAGCTGGACTTAACGTACCAGAGAATAGTCAGAATACTTGCCAAGGTCTGGGACACAGAATGGGACAGAACGATGAGGGAAAGCCAAAAGTCAAGGATACCAGAATACAGGGAAGTCAAAACGAAGCCAAAGTCAATAACCAGAAATAAAAGCTCAGGACAACTACTAAAGGAAACCACGACAGGGCAATGAGGAGAAGTAAAAATGCATTTAAATAAGCCTCTTACAGATTTGATTGGCTGAAATTGGCTTTTGACCCCAGAACGTGCGTGCGCGTCTCCCGCGTGACGTCACAACGTTGCCACCACCGTGGGTGGACGTCGGGTTATAAATTGGCGTGGATCCACAGCGTGGGGTTATAAATTGGCGTGGATCCAGTAATTTCCTCACTTCCATTACTGTCAGGGAGGAAATTACTGCAGATACCGCAAGGTGAGGATGAATATGTTAAATCGAGGTGCAGTAGCATACGATCTAGCTTGGTGCACCCGTCTTGCTCGGCCGACTTCTGCCGAGTGTTGCTTGAAGGGGGCGCGTCCACCATTTTGAGTAGGAGTGCTGGGTCTCAGTTTCGTGCAATATTAGTTGCCTGCAATCAGCAAGGTAAGTGGGGCTGCTTTGTGTGGACCGGGATGACCCCTGTCAGTTCAGAGGGGGTAGGTGGGGGCAAGGTGGTTTCACAGGGGTCCCAGCTTCTGCTTAAGTGCCCGGAGAGTGGCCGTCTCTCCATGACTCAGTGTGTCAGTACGACTTCGCAGGAACTCGAGAAATGCACCGTCTGATGCAGCAACCTCTCCCTGGTTAGAATATTGTAGTTTGAGGTCTGTGAGTGCCGATTCCCAGGTATAGCACCCTGGTTTTTGTCCCCAGACATGGGAGCTCGTGCTGAACACGTCTGAGCTGCTTGGCTCTACACCCCCTTCCCCCCCAAAACTCTGGCATTCTGTGCCCAACATTAATCAAACATAACATAAAGTTGCTGCACTGGCATGCTCCCCAAGGCACACACTCTTTGCCAACTCCATACCTCCCTATGTTGAGAGGTGTGTATTCACTTAATATATATGCAAAGAATAATTGTGTATGATGCAACAAAAACCATACACTTTAGTCACAAACGCTTAAGTCTGAAAATAGGTGAATATTTCTAACTCGGCTGACTTTGGTCATAATTTCATAACATAAATTTATCATTTCCGTTTACCAAGTAAACAACACACTTTACTCACAGACTGTAGCGTTCTTCCAGTCAGTTTTAATATGTGCAGTTTCAAGCTTGCTAAACCAATAAAATCAGTAAGCCCAGTTGGCTAAGATATCTGATAGGGTGTGTTATCTCAGTTTGGAAATGCATTAGTTTTTCTGTTTTGTGATAACATGCTTGTAAAGTGATGTACAAACAAGAGTAATGAACATTAACAAGAACTCCGTTTACAGATCCTACAACAAACAGCACTAATCACATAAAGTGGAGCTTAGGAAGTGAACAGGAAAAATCTTAATTTCTGCATCCTGAAGTCTTGTGGTAGTAACTTTACATAATAATTCCTTCCGTTTCACCAGGCAAAATCAGCATTGGGAAGAATTTACTGAACATGTTTTGCAGAATGTATTTCTTTTTAAATGTAGCTATATTTTTTATTTATTTGGCTTTATTTATTTATGCTGTATTAATTGAAAATCTAACCATGGAATTTTTTTTTTTTTTACTATTTAAGCCTGGCCACTTGGCCAGCCTTGCTCATGTCACATGTCCATGATTAATTTGGGCCTCTGTTAAAAACCAAAGGTTATGGATCACTGCACTAGAACATTACCACTTTATCTAAAGATGCCTGTTTTTATAACTGAATGGTTTATTTGCCTGTGGGCAGTTTTTCAAATAAGTTAATATTTTTGAATAAACTTTTAAACTTTTTATTTTTTAAATATATTAAGATTAACAAAAATAAATAAATACCGGTAAAAAAAAAATAAAAAAAAAAAATATATATATATATATAAAATATAGCAAAAAATATTTTTATAAATATTAAATAATTTTAAAAGTTTATCCCAAAAAATTTAAAATTGGGCATTATCTGTTACTCAATCTGTTAATAGTGTATTTCCATATATCTTACCATTTGATGACAAATGGATCTTGAGATGCAAGTTTGCAATAAGGCCAAATTCACAAAATTGGTGTTTTAAGCAAAGCATTGCAAGAATTGCAAAAAGGCCCAAGCTGACTGATGTTTATTTTTGTAATCTACTCCTGTCCTGAAATGCTGGATGAATCTATGAAACAAGCGCACATTAAAGAAGCCCACATTAAAATTGCCCAGAGAGAAAAAAAAACAGCCAGCCAATCCAGGGCAAACCATGTCAGAGTGAATGAGTGAGAGGCCAATAGAAAGAAAGATCTGAATCTAAGAGAAGCTGGCCAATAGGATGATAGACAGTCAGAGTTAATGGCCAATAGGAAGAAGAAATCATGATAAGGGCTGAGCCACGATTAACAAGTGAGAATGTGCATAAAACGTTTTAGTGGTAAAACATTTTCAATTGTATTCCCCTTCTATTCAGGGCCAGATTAAGAGCCCATTGGGCCTGGTGCTTACAATTATGATGAGCCTAATTACAGAATATTATCGACAGAAAACACTAAATCAGTTATACCTCCCAAACGTCATGTATCTAGTGGAGGTAGTGCTGGAGGGAAACTCACAGGATATAGCTATCAGAAAACACAAACCTTATGCTAATCTCTCACTTTCATCTTTCAAGTAAATCCATATCTCCTAGCAGCAGTGTCCAGTGAAGTAGGATTTTGGTGGGTGGGGTAAAAGGGTGTGCCACTGATGTGGATCATGTAACGAGAACTGCACAAAGGGACATACATGCCCAAAAAGAAGCATATCTGCACGAGGAATTAGATGGACAGCCCGGCGTGAATGCACGTCAGGCTCCCTTCCAATCATGCAAGATGACCAACCAAGGGCATACTGTGCAGACAGCATACTTAGCTTGGCATAATTGCGTTTAATGATGCGCTAGCTCTATGCTTTCTAAGGACTGTCCCCTAGCACCTGCTGGTCCATTCCTCTACTAACCTTCTTACGACCAGGTAGAAGCTCTTGTTGTGCAGTCTGGGAGCAAGTAGTGCGCAAACTCAGCTTTAACTCAACTAACTTCATTGTCAGCCACTCCACACCAGGTTTTTTTACCTACATCCCTCTTAAGTTTCCATACTTAAGCAAGAGCATGTGAAGAGTAGCCAAAACAAATTCCATATGCATGGGCCTGGAGCTGCTGCTCCATCAGCCCCTATGTTAATCCAGCTCTGGGTACAATAACCATGCTGTAGTGGCTCTGGTGTTTGAATTATGTAGTAAATGGGCCATTGAAAGAACATGATCGACAAACAAATATTTTTAAAAAATGTAATTTATTTATAATGAAGAAAAAAACAACCTTTTATAGAAAAGGAAAAAAATCTTCATGAACAGTTTTAATCATTCAATTTTGATTTGTAGCAAATTAAAATCTGATGGCAAAATGTGAGCAGAGTAATTACTCACAACAGGGTTATTCATTACAGTATGGAGACCATGCTATAGAACCTATCTGTGATAAAAGAGGATCTTACAAACAAATAATGAATAATAGAAAGATACATAGAATAAGCTGCTACAATCAGGCCCGGACTCGCCATCGGGCACACCGGGCAAATGCTCGGTGGGCCGCGGTGGCCATGGGCCGAAGCCGGAAGGGGAGGTAACAGGACCTCCCCTGCCGGTCTATGCAGGCCGGCACTATCCGAGGGCTGGCCCTGCTGTGTTCCATGGCAACGGTCCGGGTCTCGCGAGAGTGAACTCTAGCCCCACAGGCTAGAGTTCACTTACCACTGGACCACCAGGGATGGATGGCAGCAGCACAATCCCCCCTCCCAGGCATAAGGTAAGAAGGGAGGGAGGAATAAAATCACTCACAGCACTCTTTCACACACATATACACACCAATGTTACAACTTGCACCACGTTTTCCTCATTACTTCCAAATTTTATATTTTAAGTACAATAATATAGCATCATAGTTTGTAGCCATATAGAATCTTCCCAACGAAAGTAATATACATTGTTAAAAGTA